TGGCACAAAGAAAAAAAAAAAATTGAAGCAGAAAGCTCATGTCCTATTTGAAAGCATAAGCTGGGGTCTTTGGCAAATGATTTGGTGTCTTCTGAAATCAATAGGTTCCCATTTAGTTTATATGCATTAACCTAGGGAAGATATCTGTAATGCAAGTTTTATCTTTCTTCTGAGAAATAGCCACTGATACAAATGCTGGGATATGAAATCCTGCGGGTAAGAGGGCAATATTAAGGTCACGCCAAAATAAAAGGCTGAAAATCCTTGAAGAAAATGGATCAGAAATTCCCCTGGTAGAAATGTATCCTTATGAGTCAGCACCTGAAATCCGGTTTCTGCTCTAGAAAACAGAACAGCTTGGTGCGTGCGTCTGTCAGGCAGCCGCATTTCGCTTCATTCAAACTGGAAAGCATACAGGCAGTTACATTTTTTATACAAATAAAGCCTCAAATCAGATGGCACCAAACAAGAAATACATATCTGCATCCTGCACGTAGGCTTCTATTCTAGTCATGTGGAGCAAGAGCAGAAAGTTAAACGGGGACAGGGACATTTTTTTTCGCAGTGTGGCATGCGTTTTTTGGAAAGCACGGTGGGGAATTTTTTGCTGAGGATGACCTATTTGGAAGAATACCAGCAACTTTGGAAATACCACTCTGGAGTTCAATCAGGCAAGTAACTAAAGCAAACTTGGGCAGGCAGGAGAAGGGAAAGTAATAAAAGAGTATTTCATTTCTGACACTAATGGCCGTGCAGCAATCTGTTTGTTAGGGAACGGGCGAGGTGGAAATCTGCTCTTCATCCCTTGAAAGACGGTTTCCCTAGACTGAGTGTGGTGCATTAGCGATTATTCTGACTATATTTCTTTTTTTTTTTTTTTTTGAGAGAGAATTGGGTTCTGCAGTGCTGGAGAGGAATGTAAAATGGCAGCTGGAGAGGGAGGCGGGTGGAAGGGTCCTCAGCCATTCCGATGCCAGCAGCAGGGGACCCCTCACCACAGCGTGGGGCGGTGGGTGCAGGCACTCAAGTACGTGGCACTGCCGCCTTTCCCCAAAATTTTCCAGAGAACGGTGAGAGGGCAGATTTGGCAGATTATCAGTTCTGGCACAGAATTTGTGTTTAATGTAAGCCAGCAGATAAGGTAGCAAGCTTATTATTCAGCTAATAGGTACAGTCTTAGCACACAGTGTTAGTGAGCACAAACAAGCCCTCCCCTGAACCTGTCATTATTTGCAAACTTACCCAGAGTCCAGGATCACTGCTAACAAGTGAAGGGCAGTAACAAAAGCAACTAACACAATTTCACTCTTCATAGATATTCGTTCAGCTTTTGCAAATCAGCTGCGAGATCCATGTGAAGCAAAATTTACCCCATAATGTTAAAAACAGTCCTTTCAGTTAAAAGCCTGTCTTGTTCAATGGAGCAATAGTTACATTTTATTTTACACAGCTAAAGTAACATTTATACAACAATTAAAGCTTACCATTGCTGTAAGACCGAAAATTTCCTACAAATTTTATGTATTCATATGTTGGAAATTCCTTTGGGTTCAAACTTCCTCTCAGAAGATGACAATAAAACTCTAGTTCATTGTCAGCTGGATTGTTAAAAGAAGAAGAAGAAGAAATAAATATACTATTTAAGCTAAACACAACCAACAGTGTCTTCCAACCCCAATCTTACAACCGGCAGCACGAGAGCAGCTTGTTACCACTCAGAGTCCTACACACCGATGTGCTATACCTTGCAGGATCACAGCCTCTGCAAGGAAGCGCCTTGCAGGGATGCAGGTTGTTCAGCGCTGTGCACAGGTCCGCCTGCAGCTCAGGGACAGCCTTCGAGACTAACTCGTCCTTCTCTTACACCACCTTCCTGGCAGGAGTTACGCTGCCATAACGTCGGTGTAGCGAAGGAGAGAATTGCATCCTTCGTTCATAGCTTTTTTTTCCTATTTAGGCTTTTCATGACTCACAGCTGTTCTACATCTTGTGTTGGAAAACTACACCTAATTACCTCAAAATATCTATTAAATTAACTTTGGCATACTAGCTATCAGCTGCAGGTTTTGTATATACAGTAGATTAAGCAGCTGTACGTCTTACATTAGCGTGTGTTCTCTGGTTTCCTACGCCTTACCTCCTAGAGTGAATAAGGGTGAGGCAAGTAAAAGGGCTTTTACGAAAAACAAAATTCACTTTGAAAAAGAATTACAATGATTTTACAGATACTTTTCAACTATAATGCAAACCAAAGGTGTGCGACATTAACATATCTCTGAACAGCATCTTACTTGAATTGGCTGAAATATCAATTAAGATGTGATTTGTCTCAGGCGAACTCTCAGTTTCCATCGGCTAACCTATTTTCTTTAGCTGTCTCAAAAGATATGATATTTAATAATTAACATAACTGCGAGTAGTCTTAGCCTAGTAAAATAAAGGCAATGAGTTTCATTTAAAAATAGTGCCAAAGGGTCATTCCAGGTGGCAAGATCTTTTTAAAAGGCTATGAGCCCAAGTTTTATATTGCACATCACATAAAAAACTCTTTATGAGCGAAAATTTTTATCCTGCCTGTGCTTTTTCATTTACTGGGAAAGATTAAAAAAAACTTACTTTTTAGGTAATCCGATGAGGCAGAATCCGTCATAAGCATACAAGAAGATAACATCTTATAAATTTCTGAATGTTCTTGTTCTGGGAGGAAATTTAACAAATTCTGATCCAAGACATCACACTGCAAAGAAAAAGAACCTTTGAGAAAAATAGAAATATCACGACGAGCAACGCTCGCAGAGATGCGCAGCAATGCAGATATGAAGCCTGTGGCAGTCGACAGGAGTTTTCCCACTGATTTCAGGGACTCCTGACAAAGCCTAAACCAGGGGGGAACTGCCGGGCAAACTGAGTGGCCGCTTCTTCGTGGGCCGGTTCTCAGCTTAATTCTCAGCACGCGGCGATGCTCCTCTAATGTTTCTCAGAGACCGTCAGATGCATGGGGTATGTCCATACAATTAAATGATGGGACCTGGGAGTGAGCTGGAAAATGGGCGCCTGGCTCCCCATACTGCTCGCCAGCTCCATGCTCAGGGCTGTTGTGGATCATTGCAGCTTGCTCTCTCCTCGGCAAACCCCGACTAGCGGGAGCAAGTGGGGCTGGGAGTCACCCTGAGCCACCGGACCCAAGAGCCGGGTCAGTCCCAGATCCAGCCCCTCCCTGGAGGGACCCCCTCAGCCTCTGGGAAGTGCCCTCGGGGCAGCAGCTGTTGCTCCCCCCTTCCTGCATCTTGGCAGGTGGGAGCAGGGAGAAGGGGACTCCCCAGTCTGGACATCGCTTTGCAGCAGCAGTAGTTAGTCCCCAGCGAGGGGGACTTCACGGTACCACCGGCACAAGCCCTCTGGCCAGCCATGGGCTGAATGCCCGAGTGTCTCCAGCCCCACGGTCAGCTGGCACGAACCTGAAATCTGCCCAAAATCTAGGTACTGAGGTTTGGGAATGGAAGGAGGAGGTGGATTTGTGCAAAAGGCCACGACTGGCCCAGGGTGGAGAAGACAAGAGCCTGTCACAGGGTTACCAAGAGGAAGGTCTCACTGTGTTCAGCGTGGTGACTAACCTAACGCTAGAAGAGCGTATTTGAGAGGAAGTCTTGAGATCAAGTGACCCTTTAATGGCATTGACTTCCATCCATCCTACTTGAGACTACCTTGGGCTGAGCTGGCACGCTGTCACAGCTTCATGTGTCGTCAGAGCAGCTGCTATCAGACTGTATAGTCGTGTTGAAAATGTGTGAGCCCTGTATGAGACTGGCAAGTTATTAATCATCATCATTTATTTATGTATTTACTTAAGATTACGCTTTGGTTTCCCTCTGCTTTCCACCCTTGCCTGCTGTTCTGTGTGGAATTCCTCTTTAGAGTAGTGAAATGCATGGAGTATACTTTGAAAATCAGAGTGCTGTGCTTTATACACTTATCTTGATGCTATAATATATTACTCCAGATTATTCAATTGTAAGTATTACCTGTGCTCATTACTTGAATATTCCTTTTGTGACGAATACTTGAAAATTATTTTTGTGACTTTAGTATATACCTTATTAATATGCATCCTACTGATACTGTGTGTAATTCAGTTTTTATATATATGTATATAAACATATTTATATTTACATAAAATATAGTACATTGTTTGTGTAATTTTGGGCATATGAAGAAAGAGCACCTGATGGGAAACTGCAGTGGTGCAGTTTTTGTTCAAGGCTTATGGTACAATCTCAGAAAAGTAATTTTTCCTTCTCATTCCTTTTCTATCTCTAAATGTTAGATAAACATATTTATCTACCAGTTTCACATAAGTCTCATGGGGGTTAATTAATCTCCCGTCCACTCAGCAGTAGCGGCAGGAGGACTAGATGTGAGCTGTCACCGCTCCTCAGACACAGTATTGCTTCTTCAGTGACCTGAGGATGTACTGCCTTTTGTCTCCATATTGTGACCAAGCTCTGATTCAAAACCTATTATCAGTTTTGCAGTGTTGTTTCCATTTAAGGGGATCGCTGCAGAGGCCTGCAACTGTGTGTATGGTAGGAGTTGCAAGGCTTTTGTCCCACACACCCCTCAGAGCAACCTCCTGCCCTGAGCACCAGCTATTCATCGATTTGCAAGTCCTGGCATTTATATTTTTTGCTGCCGTCATGTACCATAGCCAGAATTCAATGTTTGGTTTGCATCTTTTCTGTTAGGGAATGCCAATTTTTTTTAAATGAGTATGAAAAAAATGATAAGGTATCTACTTCTTACTGTGCTTCACGACTCTTGCCTCCTGCAGAAGTTAGGCACACCTGTAAAGCAGCACACGGAACAGAACTTCTGGATCTTGTACATATCAAGACCCAACAATGTTCCTGAATCAATATGTCAGTCAAGAATGTATCAACAGGTCAAGTAGAGAGAAGGAAGCAAATATTCCACGGTCTCGCTGGAGCTGTAGGAAATGCCAGGCAAGCTATTCAGAGCTAATTCTGCACCAGACCCAAAGAGCAGACATCTGGTGCCATGGGAAAAAGGTGACCAGAGAGATAGACAAAATTTCATCACCACAGACAAAAATGTATCGGTTGGAGGGGAATGGTTTGCAGCTTTGTCTAATTATTCTAATTATTCTGCAGCGGGCAGTTCTGCCCCGCTGGCAGACACAGCCACAAAGCATCGCTGAGTGAAACAGGCAAAGCGGATAAAAGATAAATGACGGTGGCTGTGGGTAGAGTGGTTAGATGAACTACGTTAATGCATATTTATGCTGCTGAGCTCGGAATCTACTCTGCACCTTGGAATCTGTGGATCCCGCTAACAGAAACTTCGGAGTATTTACCCCTGATAGCTATGCCAGGCACAGAAAGAACAGCCTTGCATACACAGATGCTGGTCCGTTCTAAAAACAATACACAGTAAATTCACCCCAGGTTCAGCAATCATTTGATGTATAGCTTAAATATCTGTGCGGTTTCAACAAAACAGCTATACTCCAAAATGGAGCTCCTTCCTCACCTTTTCATTGCTTTTTGGGGGGGTGAGGAGGAAATATGATGAGATA